TCTTATAAATTTCAATAACATCTCAACTTCTCTTGTGAATTTCGTCCTTGAAAATCCTTTTAATATTTACACTCTCAGAGCGTTTACACTTGCCATTAAATGTGTTATTTCTTCAAAATTTTCTGTTTATATTTTTTCAATTTCAGTTCTGTAGCGTTCTTGATTAAAGCTTCCAAACGCGAAAAAATCTCATCCTTGTGGTCGAACCAGGAATTAATAGAGTAACAATATTGTAATCTCGTATCGTTATCCGTATCGTAGACCGTAATCATGATCGTGTTCGCAGCCGTGTTCATAAATCGCAATCGTGAGCGTCATCGTAATTTGCATATCGACATCCGTTGCGATATGCCTCGTGGCCTGCGAGCGGGTTCCTTTTATTGGTGTGCTGGTCGAACGTTACGAGACTTTTTTCGCATTAAATATACCTTGATATTTTTTTCGAATCAAAGGACGTAAGGGATTTGTTGTTAGATAAATATGAAGAATATTATCAATAGGAATCTCATCCATTTAGTTGTAAATCCACTTCATGCTCGGAAATTTGTGTAGGAGGATAATGCATTGACCTCGTACAATGTATAATCAACTCTACAGCTGATCTGTATACGACGGTGACGAACAGAGGGACATTACCGGCAGGTTATAACCCTTATTAATAATAAATAACCTTATTAAGAATATTTTTCACATTTCTTATACAAACCAATCCTTTACACTTTTTAACAGAGTTATACAATATCAATAAAATAGCTTTGCGAATTATTCGTTACATTCTATTCGAATACGAAATCATTTAAATTAAAGTGTCATTTACGTAATTCGACAGGATTACTTATTGTTAATCTCCACTGCACATATCGTATAAAAATTTCATATGATACACATGAGGTATCATGCACACCAAAAAATTGTAACGACTGTCACGATTAAACTACATATTATTTCGGGTCCGAAAAATTAGTAAATATTCTTCAGACAATCTGAAGTAAGGATGAACAGAGTTTTTCTTAAAAATATCACTGTTACGTAGTAAAAAAAATTCGGGAAATTCACGCTCCGTAACTTGTTTATTACTTCGAACACAGGCTGAATCCGTGGCGACCTTATGCCAAAGCCACGTGCAGCTGGCTCTCGAAGTTCCCACGTTCGCCTCGCATTGGTCACTGTTTTTCATTAATAACTCGTAAACAAAGCCGCAGATTGCATTTTCGCTAAGGAAAAAGTTGCTTCAAATGACCTCAGGAACATCTCATTTTTCGGAAATACGATCATTTTGGGACACCATGTATATTTTTCCTATAGTTTCTTTAATCGGTCCAGAAATCAATTTTATTAGAAAGATAAACGTTGCATGATTTGCAATTTTTCATTTCTCAGAATGCTTACATTGAGAATTTATCGCACGAAGTTCTTCAAATTCTGTTGGTTAGTAAGACAAATATCATTGTTTCGTTTTTTTTGTCCCGTATTCTGTCCAGCGCTCGTACGTGCGAGATATATTTACAACGAATTCCTTCGAACGCAATCCTTCAACTTCCAAACATGGGTGAACTTTGATTTCCGCGTTTATACGTAGATTATTTCGCTATACTGAAAATTCGAAAGACGTGTGTTACTTCAAATATTAATTTAATATGTACAGTACTACGAGACATAAATATCTGTACTATTGATATAATCACTTCAACCATATCATTGTGACCTAGAGTCAAATGAAGTAATTCGTCGACAATTACAAAAGTACATTTTTTAGTAAATTGAAACGTATTATGTATTAAAATGATTTTAATGTATGTGACAAATGGTAAAATTACATTTTAAGTAATACAAAAATTGTCATTTCTTCATGACGAGTGTATGCGTCATGCACAGCAAAGAAGCTGTTTTTTCGTAATTGACAAAAATATTATAATATTTAATAAATGTTCCTTGGCAATATTAATAGTAGTAGTAATGTACAAATTATACTATCCTACGTTTCTAGATAAAAAAAAATGTGATTTATTGCATTCCTTTGCCTAAGTGTTTAAATAAATATGAAGAAATATGGTTAATACACATTTATATATGTAATACACATTTTGTTAATCCANATTTATATATGTAATACACATTTTGTTAATCCACATTTTTCTGAAAGCTAATTATTTTCTATTCTTTGTAATAAAAGTCTTCTTAATTGACTTAATAATTCGTCGCTTATATTTTTAATGTGATTCAAATGAAATCTACAAGCATAGGAGCTTTTAAGAAACGTACGACGAACATGTTTGTACATTTTGTAAAATTCTTTTTTATTATACATATATGTACCTTATAAAGATTCTATAGTTATGAAAAAGATGGAGAGAAGGAAGGCTTATTTCAGCCGTGCATTATTCACATAAATTAAGGTAAACCCCAGTAAAATTTTTCCAATCTATAAGTTTTCCTAATTACGATCGTAAACCCGTTACCACCGCCAAGTTGTTCCATTCTCATTATTGAAAACTACAAATATTTACTTTAAATCAAAGTATTTTAGTTTTTAATTTGCTTATTACATATGTCAAAAAGTTACACATTAAATAGAAAATGAACTGTTCTCCTTTTAATTAGTCTAAAAATTTAATAATCATAAATGTGTATTTTTCGTACAAATTCATTAGAAAAGTTCACTTTATATTTGAAAGATTTAATTTCAAAAGGTAGTGATACCAACAATGTTAGTAATTAATACTTTGAAAAATAATTCTCCGAAAAGGCTTTTAACGTAATGACAGCCTACTTGTAGCAGAAGGATATTATCAACTTACTAACTATATGTTATTCATATAACATGAGAATTTATGCCATGGTACTTCGAGGTTATTTTATGCAAGAAGACTTTGTACATATTTCTTATCTATAAACCAGCTCCATTCTGACACAGTATAGATTTTTCTTCTTTTCA